CCCTCTGCATATAATTAAGTTGGAAAACCAATTATGTAATGAAAGTAGATGCAATAGAAAATCAAATGACGTTCCAACGCATTGATTTCAAATTCGGAACCCCTTTGAGCTGCAAATTAGTAATTCATTATGACTAAATTTCTATAGCACAACAAGTATATCATGTTGTAAAGAGCAGCATTGTGTTATTAGTGCTGGAAAACAAAAACCATAAAAAGGAAAAGAAACCAAAAAAAAAAAGAAAAGAAAGAGAAAGAGAACATGATGACCTGCTTAGCATTGGGATGGGCATCATCAGGGATATAATACTCATGAATGACCCAGTTGGTCTTCGTGGACTTACGAACACGACCTATGTAAAAGGTCAGAATCCTCTTTTTGGCGATGACAGTTCTGTTGTCCCGAGCCTTGATCACACGATCTTTGCTTGTGATCTTCCAAAAGCCTTCCTTTGTGGCCCTACTTCCTTTTTTGTATTTGTAGAAGAAGAACCAATTCTCATCGTCCGACTTTATCAACGATTTGTCTGCATAAACATTTTAATTGGACCCAATTGCATAGACAGAGCTTCAGACTCATTGAAATGCAAATTGAAAAAGTAAAAATAAAAAAAAAATAAAAAATCAAGAACTGGGAATGGTAGATAAGTAAAAGCACAACATTTGGATTGGACCCACTTGCCTGTAGAGAGTTTCAGACTGATTGAAATGCAAGTTACAAATGAAGTAGTAAAAAAGAATGAATATTTAAGAACTGGTAATGTCGTAGTTACCAGGTAAATCCCAAGGCTCGAACTTGAGGATATCAATTTCATCAATGATGTTTTCGGCATGGGAGCCCTCCAGCTTATTCTTCAAATAGTAGTTCACCAGCTCTTCATCTGTGGGCCGAAATCTGAACCCCACCGGCAGTGACAAGTCACCTTCTTCTTCTTCTGCTGCTCTGCTGAGTCTGGCCATCTCTCTGTCCTTTTCCTTTATGAAGAGAGAATGGTACAATTTGGTTAATTGATCTGTATGTTTCTGTCAAGTGTTGAGTTGCTGTGAGAGTGATTGAGAGACAATTGGGAAATTGGAATGCTGAGTTTTTGTGATTAATGAGGTCGGTTCTTATTTTTTAATGATTAAAAACAACAGAAGCGTACGGAAACGGAATTGACTTCCAAGTCTTTGGCTTTCTGCTTTGGCGCTTACATGGGTTTGGAATTTTTGTTGTGGCACATGGTGGACCCCGGCTCTCTATCCGTGTTATATGTTGGGGTGTGCTCTGTATTTTGCATCGGTACATTTATACACATGTAAAGAAACATTAATTATTAGATTAATCCAACGAATTTAATCAGTCAGTGTAAGCATTTTTTTGCAAATGACCCACTAGTATAGTGATTTAGAGCAATTGCTCCTTCAAAGTAAGGTTTGGCTTCGAACAGGCATTTGTGTATTGTGTGTAAGTTTAGTATATTACTGCCTCTCTTAATAAAAAAGGTCTTTAAAAAAAATTTAATAAAAGATTATAAATGAAAAAAATGTCTCAGCAAGAATCAAACACCCCTCCGCCGAACCCCACCCCCTGCCTGAACATTTCACAAAGGAAGGCGGCGCAGTTGGCTAGTGCGTAGGTCTCATAGCGTGGAAAGTGAGTTATCCTGAGGGTCGAGAGTTCGAGCCTCTCTCTCACCCCATTTCATCTTTTTTATTTTTGAACTTCAACAATTAAAGGTTCCAAACAATTCAAGACCTTAATAACGCAAACACTGCTATATTCGAAACTCCAGCAATACAATTCAAGACCTCAATACATCCTTACATCTGGTCAGTAGAAAGAAAGACTGTTAATTTCTATAGGCATATATGAACATTTCATCACTGCAAAACCATCGCCATGGCTGAGATTAGCGCATATTTTTATACCAAACAATAAGTACCCAGTAAGACTGGCATTACTCAATGTGTTACAGAATATAGAGAACAAGAATTAACTATTTTCTGGTGAGTGAGTTTAGCTCCACTCCCCATATAAAACTACTTCCCGGACACAAAACAAGAACAAAATCGTGCCTAGAACCGTGTTGAAAATGTAGACTGA